AGGCGGATGGAAAAAGGTGCTCAAAAAAAACCCTAATTGTTGGGTGGGCTTCGTTCAGTATGGCTACGTCTGACATGTCGGGTTTTTTACGAGACTCTCGGCCCGAGCTCCTCAGACAACTGGGACCTCAGATACCTACCATAGGGGCCTAAATCATTACCAATATTATTTTGGTGGTTCTAAATACATAATTACTACTAATATTTTGGGGGGTCCTTATCAATTATAGTAGAAGGGGCGCCACAACCCTTTTCTAAGTCTTCAGGCCCTTATATTAGGTGTATGGACATGCAAACAACCAAAGGGAGAAGCGCAGAGCCCAAGGAGAGAGTCCTGTTCTTGAAGAGTGCTAATTTCAGACATTCCGAACTACAACTCACTAGCCACCATCCCGACCTCATGCGGCTTAAACCTGTTCTATTCGTATTCAGTGTGCCATGGTATCCTTGCATGTTGAGGTCCTGTTGTCAAGCCCCCGAACCCAAATCGGTTTCAGAAACACCTAAGCCCCCAAAGTTTGACTTTCCTGCAGGTTGGCACCTCGAGCGCAAAATCCACTGCTCCGGCCCTGGCGTTGCTTCCTTCGTTGGGGGCTGTTGGCATCTTGGTTTTCGGGCCTCAAGGCGTTTCGGGGAGTAGAGGGCTTTCGGAGTTCTAAGAAGCATCGCAACATTTTCGGCTTAACGGGCACTGGTAACTGCGGCTCGTACATGTGAGTGTCTTCCGTCGGGGGTTCTAGCGTTTGGGAATCTGGCTTGGCTGCTCGGAGGGTTTCTGAGGCATCCGACGGCCAGAGATTAGGTTTCGGCTTAGGTCCCAGCAGGGCTGTAAGACTTACACGCGTTTCACCACAGCTTAACTTCCTGCAAGTTCGGCGAGTTGTGTCTAGATTTCAGGCGCCTCGTGCGTCGGAAGCAAGCAGCAGGCCGTCCTTGATCTTTGCGCCCATGCCTGATGTCAAGTTTCAGGTCCCGCGGGTGACCCTGGCAGATGGCGAGGCACGAATGCCGTGCTTTGCTCTGAAGTGAAGTGTTTGCCAGCTTGCCCAGCGATAGCAGCAGCTGGAGTAGCAGGAGCAGAAGTAGTCTTCCTGCTAGTGAGCAGTAGTAGTAGTAGTAGTAGTCGTAGTAGTCGTAGTAGTCGTAGTAGTCGTAGTAATAGTAGTAGCAGTAGCAGTAGCGGTAGCAGTAGCAGTAGCAGTAGCAGTAGCAGTAGCAGTAGCAGTAGCAGTAGCAGTAGTAGTAGTAGTAGTAGTAGTAGTAGTAGTAGCAGTAGTAGTAGCAGTAGTAGCAGTAGTAGTGGCAGAAGCAGTAGCAGTAGTAGTAGTAGTAGTAGTGTAGTTGTAGTTGTAGTTGTAGTTGTAGTTGTAGTTGTAGTTGTAGTTGCGTAGTAGTCGTAGTCGTAGTAGTCGTAGTAGTCGTAGTAGTCGTAGTAGTCGTAGTAGTCGTAGTAGTCGTAGTAGTAGTAGTAGTAGTAGTAGTAGTTGTAGTAGTAGTAGTAGTAGCAGTAGTAGTAGTAGTAGTAGTAGTAGTAGTAGTAGTAGTGGAAGTAGCAGGAGCAGTAGCAGCAGCAATAGCAGCAGTAGCAGTAGTAGCGGTAGTAGTCGCCGTGGTACTACCATAACCGTAGGAAGCAGCTTTTCGCGTATTTCTAGTAGTAGCAGCACTACAAGTAATACCAGTAGTCTCTAGTAGTAGCAGCTCTACAAGTAGTATGGGTAGTAATTAACTGATACCAATAGCTGGAGAAGTCGCAGTAGCAGCAGTGACTTTTGCACACCCTGCTGCTTTGCAGGAGTCCTCCCCGAACCGGCGTCGCAAGAGAGGGAGCCGTGAGTCCAAGGATCCAGATATCAGCGTCTTGGCGAAAAGTTCAGACACATATAGATCCCCACCGGACAATTCGGAGTTCTTCTAAGAGCCACAGAGAGTCCAAACTCACCTGGAAACCGAGAGCGATCGTTCCCAATCCTAAGTAGTTCCTTGTCCATACGATTCGAAGCTCCGAATTGTTTTCATAACACCAGGGTTTCGTTCTTAACACCAAAGCAGCTCTGAAACTGAAGGGTAGGGTTTCGTTCTCAAGACACTGGCAGCCTGAAGGCGAAGATGATCCGCATGGGCTCCTCCCTACAGCAGCATTCGTGGATCTTGGGGTCCTCCTCCGCGTGACCTGAGCCCTGGCTTTCGCGTGATCTCCGTGCTCTCAGGGGCTAACGAATCCAGGGTTTAGAGGCTAGGGGTTTAGGGTCGGGTTTAGGGTTTCCGCAGTGCTTCCCAGCTGATCGGCAGAGTCTGGGTTCAAAAAAGGGGGTTCTGCATATCATCTTAGAGCTCAAGGTTGAGGGAAGAAGTCATGGTGTTTGCAACATGGAGCTTGTAGCGTCACTGATCTTTGGGCCTGCGTGGGGCTACGGTCAGAGAAAGGCATCCGGAAAGATCCGGCCATGGTGGTTTGGTGGTTGCAGCTGTCCCAGTGGAGCCTGTTGCTGACAGTTTAAAGGTGTACTGGCGTCAACAGCCTGAACTACTTCTGGTGCTACCACTACCATCACGACGACGACAACTACTTCTACTACCACCACCACCACCACCACAACGACCAGTACTGTACTACTTTACTACTAGTACAACCAGTACCGCAAGTCGTTAGTAGTACTAGTAGGACTACTCTACGAGTATTCATTGCAGCATGATTGCTAGTACTTCCAGTGCCAGTGACTGAAACCCAGGTGACTAAAGCTTCGGGTTCGAGGGTGTGCGACTCACGGTTGAAATTTCAGACAGGCTTGTCGGCTTTTCGTACACTTGTTGTCGTGCATATAGTGCGGGTGGGTGGTACTTGCTCTTGTCTGGATAGGAGGAACTTCGGCGTGAGTATTTGCCTGCTTGTCTCCCGTAACTCTGAAATCTTGCCCTGGTGTGCTCGACGAGTGCCAAAAAAGTCCTACTACCAGTGCTCGTACCGGTACTAGTATCACCACTACTACTACTACTACGACGACGACGACGACTGTGGATGGGCAAAACCTTGCAACATTTCTCAGAAGCGTCTTTCAGTCATTTCTCGCAGCCCCTGTTTAACATTTGACATTGGCTCTGCAAGATACAGAGCCGGATTTGTTCCAGTGGCCGAAATCTTGCACCGCTCAAATAGTCCCAGCTGCCAAATTTACTTTTCAATCGCTTGAAATATGCATGTACGGGCGGTGCAAGATTTCGTCCATCCACCGTACTACTACTGCTGTGGCTGCTGCTGCTGCTACTACTACTACTACTACTACTAGTAATTGTTACTACTAGCTACCAACTGCTACTGCTACTGCTACTACTACTACTACTACTACTACTACTACTACTACTACTACTACTACTACTACTACTACTACTCATAGTACGACGACGAAGGCTTCTACTGCTGCTACGGCTGGTACTGGTACAGGTACTGCTACTGGTACTGCTACCTCTACGCTACTGCTGCTGCTGCTGCTACTGCAACTGCTACTGCTAGTACTGCTACTGGCTACGACTACGACGACTGGCTGCTTCTGCTGCTACTGCTCGTGTTGCCATTGCTACCACTACCTGTCACTGCCTTGCCATTTCAGTAGCAGCGGGTGCAACAGTTTTCAGCTTCGTACAGGCTGCACTGGAGCAGCAGGGTCAGCAGCTCAAGCCACACCATGCAAAGCTCCGACAACGAAGACAGAGAAGTTGTGCAGCCACTCTCGATGGGGAACGTCCATACCGGGACTTGTCAGTCGAATCGCTGCTGCCACTGAATCTCAAACCAAGCATCGATGGAATTGAACTCTGACGAGATAGTTGGCTGCGCCATTTTTCTGGACTTGGGCTTGCGCTCCGCCGCAGAACTTTAGCTTCAACGGGGTTGCAGGCCTTGCACCAACATGGGCAGCAACAGCAGGGTTATTCCTAACCTTTTCAAGACCATCCGCCTGCAGCGCTTCACGAGCTTGTCTTGTAAACTTGTAGTCTTTTGCCATGCAGAGGTCGTCGGTCGATCCAGGGCGAAAGTACGGGAGCCTGCAGTCTTCAGACCAAGGAGCATGACCTTGAGGCACTCATCACAAGCCGTCAATGCCTCGATAGAGGCCTCCTTAGAGTAAGGGGTTCATGCATAGCTAATCCGATACGGGATCTCCTGAGCCATTCATGTTTCCTATGTCCCGAAAAGCCAAGGCCTGATACGGACTGCCCTGCAACCCTGCTGCCCCAGCCTACTCGGCGAAGCCGAGATTTTGCAGGGGGATGGCCCGTTAATCATGATACTCGCCCTTTGCCACCGGAGTGCTTATAGGGAGTGGGGTTGAGCGCACGAGACAGAGACTTGCAGAAAGGTGCAGATGTACACGGATACGGAGGGACAGACTTTCGTGGACACCGACCACCAGAGACGCGTACGTAAATGAACCCGTAGACGTACGCACGCCACTCGAAGACAATTGCATAGCATGTTTCTGTACATGTACGTGAAGCATAAGGCGCACAGGTCGATTGGTTATGTTCTTTTTGTGGAGAACATAAGTTTAAAGAATTCATTAGGGGTGGCCTTGCAGCACTGCATCGTATATGGTTGCGCCCCGCGGGTCACCCCCAAGCCCCCTTCCCCCCTCCCCCTAATGGTTGCTGCTTATGGTCATTTCCTTCCCTCTGGGGGGTCTGGGGTGCAGGGGGCGCTTGAGGGTTCAGGTAAAATAGCTGGGGGAATGCCATGAAAGGGGAACGGGAGGCCAGAACACACAGCGCACAACCATTTTTGGATGCATGCATCGACGGACGGAGGGATGGATTTACATGTATCTGATTTTGTCTACCTTCAGCCATGGCGTAGTCTGGCTCAAGGTTCCCTGGCTGAGGAAGACACCCGTTTGAGACCACGATCGTGCTCTGCAGACTACAGTGCAGGCAGGCAAAGGCTCCCAATCCGTCGCTGCGGCCACGGACGGGAAAAGGTTGAGCGCACGGCAGAGACGGTAAAAGAGATCTGGGCAAGATAGAAGGAGAGAAGAGCCTGAATGGGTGAGTGGATAGACACGTTGCCTGCCGGCGAGAAATGAATGGAGACATGGAGCCCATGCTAAGCAAGTAGGTGAGTGGATGAACAGGTCAGCAACCAGACCCGAGCCTATCACTATCCAAGCTATTGAATGCAGCCATATGTAGTTCTGAGACCATTGCGTAGTCCTTGTTTTCGGAGTGCCATAGCAGTCGCAACTACACAAAGAGACGCACTCCAGCCGGCTGCTGGGCAACCACCCTAGCAAAGCCACCACCCCAGGAGTTCCGTGCATGCTAAGTTTGGCCATATCTTGCGTGTAGCTCTTTGCGGCATATCTCTACGCTGTCATATCATGTAGTGAGTCATCGGGTTTTATGAGAGTTTGAAGGAGATGTACGCAGGGATCTCCGGCGGGGTTTGTGGCGGTGGCAGCAAGTCAAAGGAATGCCCGATGGCAGCTTGATGAAGTTGTGCTTGCCCATCGTAATTTTAGTCGCACATCCTCGTGGTACGAAGTTCATCACATTACATTTCACTACACTGGACTGGACTTGACTATGCTATACTACTGCCTCGGCTTGGCTCCACATACGACTTCACAAGCTGCTCGCGGGGATGTTGAATCTGTAATTTGCAGCCGGAAGTCCTTTCTGTTAACCTTGTATTGGTTTATCAAAGCAAGTAGTAAGCTTCGAGCGCGACGTTGCACCAAAACGGGTTTCCAAGTTTTCGACTTAAAGTTTCCACCACATCGCAATTTCTCGATTATCCAACTGTAAGCCACAACGTCATGAAGAAATCGTTCAAAGTGTCCTCCGGATGCGCAGTCACAGAGGATCTGTGGTTTGCCTCGTCGTCCCGACTTCCCGAATTGGATGTGGAGTTCTGAGCGCGCTTTACAGGCCCAATCAGCCCAACAAGCCATAAACCCTGTTAAGAAGGTCCGTATTCCAGCAAAGACTCAAAGGCCAGCGACAGCATGGCCATGATTTATCAGATAGTCGTATAGTTGGGGGTCGAAAACACGTATTGTTTTTCGGTACAGTGCAGTCTACCCTAAAAGCCCATTCGAGTTATCAAGGCCTTTACTGTATGAGCGGAGGGCACTGCTCCATTCGAGCATGTTCCTTCGCAGCAGATGCTTCCTGACAATGATGTGTGATTTGTTGTGGTTTTATGTTCGGGGTTTAGGGCTTGGGAGAGTCTGGGTTCGAAAGGGCTTGGGATACTGGGTTGCAGGGCTTTTGGAGGTTCAGTGTTGCAAAAAGGGTAGAATGACTTCGGGCTGAGGGAGTTTAGGTGTTCAGGTTGGGGTTTAGGGTGAGTTTAAAGCTTCAGGATTCAGGGTTTCAATGTTTCGGGTCAGATGGCTTTCAGTTTCATATCGGCCAGACACGAGATATCGACCGATGAGTCAAAACCACGCATCAGATCTGTGCTAATGTTTGCAGCGGCTCTCTGCTGAGGGCACAGCGCTGCAGCTCGAGGTCGTCATGTGGCATGACCAAGCAGCGAGATGTAGCGGAATGGTGAGGTCTGGGCAACATCCCGACTATTCATAGCCAGTGCATGTAATCACTTTTGTCTGTCAGACGATACTCCCCTCGACGACCTAGTGTCTTGCACCTGTCAGCGAATCGCCCAGTCTAGTTTGGGCTCTTGCTGGAAGAATGTGTCGGGCATGTAATCTGGAGCTCTGGTCCGGTATCTCACCCTGCCCTAAACCCTAAACCGTCGACTTCCAGGAGGATTGTTTTTAGCCTTCCAGAAATGCTGGACGACCATTACCTCTCACAGAGTGTGAGAAGGGGGACAGGAGTTCTGCAGAGTTTGGGATTAGGGTTTTGCGTTTACTAGAAACATTCCTGCTGCATAGGGAAACTGGATACTGTCGTCTCGTTCCTAGGAGGTTATCGAAGCACGTTTCGTAACTTGGCCTCATGCCACGTGATGCGCCGACTCACGTCGACAACCTCGTCATTGAGAAAAGCTTTGGGATTACATCCGCGCATAGCTGAGTGCAGGCGCCCATGTATCTAAGCTGCAGCAGCAACAGCCATGTGCTTGAGAGCAGGGCTTGCGCCCGCCTGCGAGTTTACATCATGTGCACAAATTGCCCTCGTACTGCAAGTTCCCTCGGTTTAAGCTTGTGCTGAGCCACTTTGATGCAGGAGCAGTTGCGGGAGGAGCAGAGGGAGGCTTCAAGCATCCGCTGTGCAACAGCAGTCGGAATGACTTGATGCCGTCGACTGCTGTCTATCCTTGCCCAGGATCGGGGAGGCATGTCCAGACGATCGAGATGCCTGCGTTCTGCTGCCGTTGGCTCGTGAGACTGAGTTCTTCTCAGCTGGCTGGTCTCTGGGTGCAGATGATAGCTTTAGAGGTCTATATAGAACAAGGCTATGCATCTATATGGGGTAGATTACAGTAGATGTATAAGACTCTAGCACCGAAAGGCAACAGTGACATAGCTCAACTCCA